TATAGCCTGCCATTACACACCTCCTGTTGTTAGTCACTAACAGTCCCCATTAACAACTATTCACCCTCCCAGCCAGATCGTTATCAACTCCTTTGTCTGTCCAACTGTTCTTCTCTCTCTTTGAGCTCTATCCTATCGTTTACTCCCTACCCCATCCCCCTCCCTATTTTCTGCATATAATCTGAAGTTTTCCCAGCCACCATCAGTTCCGAGGAAGGGTCACCAGACCCAAAACGTTAACTCTGATTTTTTCTTCATATATGCTGCCAGACCTGCTGAGCTTTTCAAGCAACTTCCAATTTTTCCAGTTCCTGCCTAATGCTGTTATAATTAGCTTTCCTCAAATTTAACATTTGTACTGAACGTAAAGGATGTGATTGCCTCTTGGAAATAGTGTTGAGATAACTTTACTTCTCCCTAATGCATCTCAGTTTCTGAAACTACATTCAAACCATGGTGTACTCCAGAAACCATACAACAAAATCTTCTGCATCATCACCACACAGGTTGGGGACAGTGGTGGTACTGATATTACATTAAACCAAGTGAAACGTGCAATTCAAACCTATGTATGTAAAATTTACTTTTTGTAGGATTAAGCATGTTCGTCACAAATATGAATCTGAGCTGAGGGAACTGGAACGCTCAGAACGCAATCTGCAGGAAAAATGTAATGAACTTAAGGCACGGCTGATGGATGCGGAAGGAGAGACTATCCGCTTCAAGGGATTATTCAGATATAAAGAACAAGAAATAGAAGATATCAGAAAGGTAACACGGAGGTGTTTATTTGTTAGTGTTCAGTATATCAATCATACTTTATCAGAGAGTTTCTGTAGCAAGGAAAGAGGTCCTTTGGCCCATCATGTCCACGTCAGTCTTAAAACATCTAAGTATTTTAATCCGATTATCTCAAGAACATGACTATCAGGCACCACCTCAATAAGCAATATTCAGTAAAGTAGTGCTTGTCAAACTGTTAATGTTTCATATTCATAGTGAAACATATTTAATGCCATTACAGGAATCATAATTGGCCTTAGTGCTCTTGGTTAAAAGGTGGAGAAAGTTAGCTAGGGTTTTACCTCATGATTTCTGTCAAGTTGCCTTTATTGGATGACTGTCAATATTGAAAAGGAACAATGGTAACATCCCTCAAGAGTTATGCAACGCTGTCTCTGTTCACTATTACAAATGGCCACTTTGTTTGATACTGCTGGACTGAAAGCAGCAGCAGTATCTTTGTATCTTTGAACGGAATTTTCTTAGTGTTTTGGAGATGGCTGGGGTTGCTGAGGGGAAGACATTGGCAGGGGAGCCCCAAATCTTCTTGCTGCTACCTAAGCATTCTGGCTTCCCAGTGAGTTCCCAGGGAAGATGTGGGACACCCCAGTGACTATGGCTGCCCCTGCCTAAATTGCTGCCACTGCAATTGCAATCTCTCCCCTTGCTCTGATCACCATGGCTTGTCTACTTATCCTGGCTTATGAAAGCAAACTTACCCATCTTCAAAGGAACCTTAGCATTTGGGCAGCTCTCCCTCATGCTGGAGAGTTAGTAGTACCCACCAAAAGTACTGGCACTTTGAGCCTCTTCAGTTGGGCTACAAAACTCTATTATTGCTTTGAAAAATGGGAGGAAAACTATTAACTGAGCATGAAGTGCGGAATGGAAATATTGATTCACCATTATTGGTTCAGCAAAATACCTGCAGAAGCAGAAACTGAACTTTATTTTTGTTATGTAATTGGATTATTTGCGTTATGAAAGCAATTTCCACTCTGAGTAACTATTGGAATATGGACTCAATCATGATATATTTGTGTCAAATCTCCAAATATGGGTTTTGAGGCATTATTATTAGAAGATGGAAGAAGCCTAGTGTATGTTCATAGAAACAACAGAGGAATATTGACTTTGGACTATGAATTTGCACCTTTGTCTCTGATTAAGTCTGTGACTTAGCAGATGATTTGAGTCTTTGATTCTGCTTCAAAGTCTTGTGCATTTTCCTACGTGATTGTCAATAGATTGCTTCATTTGCTCCCATGGTTTGTTAACCATTTGTTTTGGTCCTTCTATCTTGCTAATAGATTTTTCATCCGTTTTTTTGACACTCAACCTATTATGTCTAATCCTGTTGTTAATCTTTCATTGCTATTTAATGCTTTTCTGTACAGTAATTGTTACATACAGTCACATTTTATGGGGACATTCCTGAAATTGGAGCAGCCCACTTTTATAGGGTCTTTCTCACTGTGTAAGAGTGGAAATGAGATGACAGTTGCATTGGCCTCAGAGTATTTAGCCATCTTTAAAAGATGGCTATTTGCTTTACCATTATACCTTCACAACACACACACTATTTATTAGGTGATATCATAGGCCAAAGCGTATGTCCTGGTTTTGAGATTGAATTTTTGATTCTCAATTGCAAGTATGACAAGTGCAGTGAGCACTTTCTGTGGAACTTACTGGTACATGAAATATTTGATTTGGAAAGGATATATGTGTATAATTGGAAAGTTGGGAAGCATGTGAAGGAAAACAGAAGGATATGCTGATCAGAGGGAGTAGCATTTCATTTGAAACATAAACACTAACATGGACCAGTTTCACCAAATAGCTTGTTTCAGAGCTGTAAATTGTGTAATCCTGTTTGCCTCTTCCCATCTTACCATCTTTCCAAGAGTGTTTTTGTTTTTCTTCGGACGCAATTTGTGACTTACCTAGCTTAATTCTGGCCCTTCACTGAATTCTCTTATTGAGCAAAGAACAAAGAAAATTACAGCACAGGAACAGGCCCTTTGGCCCTCCAAGCCTGCACCGACATGCTGCCTGTGACAACGAAAACCCCCTACCCTTCCAGGGACCGTATCCCTCTGTTCCCATCCTATTCATGTATTTATCAAGACGCTTTTAAAATTCACTATTGTATCTGCTTCCACTACCTCCCCCGGCATCAAGTTCCAGGCACCCACCACTCTCTGTGTAAAAAACCTGCCTTGTACATCACCTTTAAACCTTGCCCCTCGCACCTTAAACATAAGCCCCCTAGTAACTGACTCTTCCACCCTGGGAAAAAGCTTCTGACTGTCCACTCTGTCCATGCCCTTCATAATCTTGTAGACCTCTATCAGGTCACCCCTCAACCTCCAACGTTCCAGTGAGAACAACCCAAGTTTCTCCACCTCTCCTTATGGCTAATGCCCTCCATACCAGGCAACATCCTGGTAAATCTTTTCTGTACCCTCTCCAAAGTCACCACATCCTTCTGGTAGTGTGACAACCAGATTGAACACACTATTCCAAATGCAGCCTAACTAAGATTCTATAAAGCTGCAACATTACCTGCCAATTTTTAAACTCCGTGCCCCAGCTGATGAAGGCAAGCATGCCATATGCCTTGTTGACTACCTTCTCCAGCACCTTCTCCACCTGCGATGCCATTTTCAGTGACCTGTGTACCTGTACACCCAGATCCCTCTGCCTATCAGTACTCTTAAGGGTTCTGCCATTTACTGTATATTTTCCATCTGGATTAGACAGTCCGAAACTCATTACCTCACATTTTTCCTGGATTAAACTCCATCTGCCATCTCTCTGCCCAAGTCACTAACCGATCTATATCCTGCTGGATCCTCTGATGGTCCTCATCGCTATCCACAATTCCACCAATCTTTGTGTCATCCGCAAATTTACTAATCAAACCACTTACATTTTCCTCCAAATCATTTATATATATTGCAAAAAACAAAGGTCCTAACACTGATCCTGAGGAATGCCACTAGTCACAGCCCTTGATTCCGAAACACACCCTTCCACTGATTCCTCTGTCTTCTATGACCGAGCCAGTTTTTTTATCCATCTTGCAAGCTCAACTGTGACGCCGTGCGACTTTACCTTCTGTACCAGCCTACCATGAGGGACCTTGTCACCTCAGTCTTTTTTTCACCACCAGATTTGCCTAACGTTTTCATAGTAATCAGTAGCATTTTTCCCTTGTGAATATTCAGTTCAGTTGTTAATTCAAGAAAGTCATCAACAAATCCCGAATCTTTGTAGCTCAAAGAGGGGTACGCTTGCTGGTGTTAACATTAGCTCACTAATTTCCTATAGTAATGCTTAAACAATTCTGCTAGGAATTAGGAAAACATTCAGGTAACCATCAGTTAATGAGACAAAATTCTTATGTTTTTCTAATAATAAATTACAATATTAAGAGTTTTAGTGAAGGCATTTTTATTTCAAGAAAGCATTAAGCAATACAGAACACAGTCAAGCTCTGCTAATTTTATCCTAGCTCTTTACTATCTTTGGACACAATTCGTGTCATCAGTGACTTATTATATGATTTTGTACAGTGTATAAATCCAAATCTTGTTATGAAAATCTGTAGGTCTCTGTAAGTTTGAATATTAAGACTTTGAATTTTATGCATTCCCATCTTCTCAAATATGTCTGAGGGCTCACCTTTTCTGTAATGGTTTCACTTCACATGAAGGCTAAATGCTATTCTGTGTGGAATCTCAAACTGAACATGATGAGTGTTCTATACATTTCTTTTAGTTTTGAAATGTGGGCTGAGAAAATGCCAGTGTGCAAACTCTGTATTTAAAAAAGAAAATAACACATGTACAAACTGACAGGGAAATTAGTTGTTTTGATCTAGTGCAGTTTTGGGATCTTACATTGGCTGTGAAGTGTGTTGTGACAATGTGTTCCTTCCGAAGTGTGATCACTGTTGTGCTGTAGACAAACATGAGATTAAACCTCTGTGCAGCAAAATCTCACAAGTCAATTGTTAGATAATCCTTTTTTTTTTAATAGCTGTGTTGTTTTTCTTAATATTTGCTCACAGGATTTCAGCATCCTGGTGTTTATTACCCATCCCTAATTGCCTTTGAAAAACCGCTATGAGCTACCGCCTTGAACTACTGCAGTTCAGTTGGTGTAGATACCCTCACAGTGCTGTTAGGGAATGAGTTTTTGACACAGTGATAGTGAAGGGATGGTAATGTATTTACAAATCAGGATGGTGTGCAAATTGGAGAGGATCTTGATGATGGTGTTGCTGTGCATCTGCTGCCTTTGTCCTTTTAATCAATAACGATTATGGATTTGGAAGGTGTTCTTAAAAGAACCTAGATATTTAGATCTGTGATCTAAGAATGAGTTGCTACAGTGTGTCTTGTGAATGATGCACACAGCTGCTAATACCCATAGGTGGCAGAGGGAATGGATGTTTGTGGATGTGGTGCCAATCAAATGGACTGCTCTGTCCTGGAGGGTGTCAAGCTTCTTGAGTGTTGTTGGAGCTGCACCCATTCAGGCAAGCAGAGTCTTCCATCAAACTCTTGACGTGAGCCTTTAAAAAGCTTTGGGAAGTCAGGAGCCGAGTTCCTTACCTCAATTTGTTGGCTGAGAAATAAAATTCATTAAGAAAAGGAAAAACTCTCTTGCTTTATTTACTGAATGATATCATAGAAATGCTTATGCCCGTTTGAATAGATAATTTGTTTTTTGTTTTAAAGTCTTACCTGAAAGTTACATCTTTCAACTGTACAACACTTCCTCAGCACTACACTGGAGTGTTAACCTAGGATAAGTGTTCTGTTCTTTGTAGTGACATTTAAACCTACAACCTTCTGACTACCAGGAGGTGAGGAGCAGGAACTTCGGAGTATAAGAGTGTCTGTCTCAGTATGAGAAAATATTGACAAATTTTGAAAGAAGATGTTTTCGTAATCAGTACTGGTAATGAAGAGTGATAGCACATTATTACTGGGAAAGCTGTCTTTGACCTGAAATATTTGTATGATTGATCGTAAGATAGTGTTAATAACAATACTCACTGTTAATGGACAAAGAGTAAAATTTGTGGGATTGACCTTTGCCCTTTGGGGGAACAACCCTAAGGCCCAGTGAAACTATTCTTTGCCCGTGTGATGTTCTTGATATTGCTGGAAATCCTAAATTGTTTAAGTATCTTTACAATGCTTCATAAAACATTTTGGCAAATTGCCTCATCTCTGATTAGAAAGTAAATGCTGAAACACAGATGATTGCTAGAGATTCATTTTCAACATTATTATCTATAGTAAAAAAAAGTGGTAAAATAGTACAATTTGCATAAACAGTACACTTGAAATTTCCCTCATGTTGCTTCAGTGGTTTGATCAACAGAATCCTCAGTGGATGACTTGGGCAATGGGGAGAGGTGGTGAACTTGAAAATTGTTGGACTGGTTTATGAAAGCAATTGAAACCAGTAGAAGAAAGAAGAGGATCTCCTGCTTGCATTTTCATTTTTCTGTCATGCTCTGAGCTCTGCAGCAGCTTGAGATTCCTTCCCCCTCCCTTGAAACATTAGACACAAGGCCTTGACTATCATCTCATCAAGGAAACAGAATCTTCAACAGTGTAGTGTTCCCTCCACACTCTTCTGAAACATGGGCTTAGTTTACGTGGTTAAGTCTCTGGTATGTGGCTTGAAACCACAATCTTTTGAGTTACAGTCAAGTGCTGCCACTGAAACAAGTCTGACACTAACATAGGACAATTAATCTCTGAAAGAACGGAGTCATTTTCCAAGTTAGTATATGGTTCAGAATCTTATGCATTACACAGGCAACCTTGTCACAGCAAGGTTTCTTCTGCCAAAAGTATAAAATAATACAAAGTTCCTGTCCATCCATAGCTATCTTGGTTGGGCCATTATACTTACCTGTCTATGTTGCTTCTTGCTTTTTCCTCCTAGGATGTACTTTTGGAATGGGGACAAGCCAAGTGAGCTTCCAAGAGCTGGTCCCAATGTGTTTGATGTTGCTTCAGTTCCACATTCTCAGTAATACTGCCTGTAACAAAATATGCAAGAACCAACTTATTAATTTTACACGTTCATCCTTTTAAAAATTAAAAAAGCAAAGGAGACTTTCATTATGATTATCTGAAACTTAATAAAGAAATCCCTTTGGACTTTGCCGGGTTTGTGTAATTTATTGTCATTTTTCATTTTGGAACCAGATCAATGACAGACTTACAGAAGAGAGGAACAGTTTAGCTGAAGTAATTCGTCAAGAGTTTGCAGACCGGTTAGTCAGCACTGAGGAAGAAAACAAGCGATTAAAGACAGAGATGTCTGAGATGAGAGCACGTCATCGTTTGGAAGTGGAGCGAATCACTAAAGAGAAGGAAGAAGAGCTGGAGGAGGTCCATAAAAGGTACAGTGTACATTCTTTAGATTGGCGGGATAGTCCAAATCCAGATTAATGTTTGAATACGAATATAAAAATATAATGAAGTCCTGTTCTTCGGCAAATAATTCTTCACTGTATGTAATATTATTGATATTAATTATAATTAGAGGGATAGAGTTGAAAAGCAAACAATTTACATTCAGTTTCAGTTGAATGTTGGTTAGACCACATTATAGTTTAATGTATAATTCTAACTTCATGTCATAAAGAGACACAGAGCAGGTGCCAGAAAGATTAATAAAAACTGACCTGAAACTGCGTGCTTAACAGGAAAAGCTGAGCCGGTTGAAGCTGTTTGCTCTAGAAAGGAGTGACAGCTGATCTTATGCGGATCTTTGAGATTATGAAAAGGTTTGTCAATAGATAAAGAGAAATGTTTACACCTGTGCTAGAGACCAAAAATAGATGCATTAATGATACTTAATGAGAAATTCAAGAGAAAGCACTTTGAGAATGTAGAATTCACAACCACAAGTAGTTGAGGATAATGTATAGATGCATTTAAAGTAACACTGAATGAAAACTTTTTTTTCAATAAGTTTGGTAGGAGATTCAAATGGAGCATAAATCAATCCAGCCAAATGACTTGTTTGTGTGTTGAACTCTAGATTTAACAATGGTTCAATTACCATCTATAATGGAAGGATTAATTTTAGGGATGAAGTTTCTTTTTAATTAGGATCTTTTTGGTGTTGTGGTTTACTGGCTGAAATGTTTCAGGGCTGCTGTACCTTGCATGGTACTGATGTTTTGAATTTTTTTTATTATAGGGTAAAAGTAGCAATAGTAAAGAAAGAAGAAGCAGTGAATAATCTTCGAAAACAATATGAAGTGAGTGTTTACTTTAAACCAGCTAAGCATTTAGTTTCTCACCCACTTTCAAAATTGTCACTGACTACTTAAATTGAAACATACAAAACCAGTGGCATTTGGTAACGTTTTTATTACACTGTCAAATTTCAATCAGTCATTGCATTTGCTGTTGTATTCTCTTAATTCTGAGATGTTTTAAAAGTGTAACAAACTTGCCGTAAAAGAATGCTTCATGAGGTATAATGCCCTAGTTTCAAATACCAATATCCAACCTTCACTACAAAATGAATATTCCCTCCTTTCTGATTTACCTCAGAAACATAACATATTCAAATTGATCTATCATTGCTCAATTTCTAATTGGGATTAGGATTTTTATTCTGATTGAATGAAGGAGCACTACGTTTAAATAATGGCAGTTGATCTTAGTTCCATCTTTGTTTCTTAATGCACACTGTCATCCTTATCCAATCATAACTATGGCCTCAGCAACCTCATTAACTGCTTTAATGTTGGATTTGATTGAGTACTGTGACTGCCAACTCCTAGCACTAGGGTTTCACACTGCTAATGGCAATCTCAAAGTAAATCTACTGAACATGCTCAGGACCTTTCTTTCTCTAGGATCTTCCTTACCAACCCAGCAAATTAACATTGGATTGACTTTGGCGGTAGCAATTCTCAAGCACACCACACAGGCACTTTAGGAGGGAAAAGGATGCCTTTTAGCTGTCATTACCTGTGAAGCCTTTCCCTAATTTACCTAATTCTGATGTTCATTTTCTAGCTTCCCCATACGTATGCAACCTGAATGGGCTGATTTTTAAATGGTACTCAAAAATAGAAGCAACTTGTTAATTATATCTTCACTTGCTGGAATTCAGTCTTTTCCTTTTCCTTTTTACTTGTGTTATGGAATAACTGAAATTTTGAACTATTCCTCATTCATTCCCCTCCTTGAAGTACCATGTAGCTGGATTATCGTTCAAATACGGAGAAACTCAGTAGGTCTGGCAGCAGAATTAATGTTTCAAGTCCAATATGACTGTCCTTCCTGTTTGAAGAGGAGTCATATCAAACTTGAAACATGAACTTTGTTTCACTCTCCATAGCTGCTGCCCAGCCTGCCCAGTGTCTTGAGAATTTAGTTTTTATTTCAGATTTCTAGCATCAGAAGCATTTTGCTTTTATTATCGTTTAAATTTCTTGTAGACCTTCACACCTTGCACCACTGACCTTCAATCAGCTGCTTTCCAATATCTGCCAGTTGGTATTCTAAACTGTAAACTTCAGTGGCTGTACTTATGGATCTTGTACCTCTGAAAAATGTAATTTGAAGAGATCCTTGAGGTATTGAGTTCATTCCTAATCAGGGCAAACATTTTCAAAAGAAAGAATGACAACAAAGAAAAGTCAACTTCATTATAAAATCTTGAAGAATTTTAAATTTTGAAGTAACATTTAGGCATGGAAGCTACATTTGTCTGATTCCAGTCTCCTGGAAATCATCCATATTGATTCATTCAGCCCTAGCAGAGTGTGCAATTACTGACATATGAAACTGTCAGTCCTGCGTTTTTATTAATTCCATTAATTTTAGTTGTAATTAAATACATCTTTATAGCAGTGCCCATTGCGAATGTGTTCCTTTGTTGTTTGAGACTTCAGGTTGTAAAATAGATGATATTGGAAGATCCAGAGAACACAAGTTAGTTATTCAGCCCTTCAAGCTAGTTCCAACATTCCTTTAAGTAAAAAAAAATCACCTGCGTCTGAAGAAGGGTCACTGGACTAGAAACGTTGAGTCTACTTTCTCCCCACAGATACTCCAGAGTCGTTGAGTTTTCCAGCTATTTCTGTATTTGTTTCATCTGCATTTTGATTTACCAATTGCCTTTCTGTAACCGTAGAGACCCATATCTGATTTACTTAGAGAGGTCAAAATATGGAACTTGTAACCACATTGAGTAGCTGAGTTGAATTGCATAGCTGTATCCAAGGGAATCCTAGAAAATGACATGGAAAGATACATTGATAGGCTAAAATGAAATAAAAGGAGTAGAAATATTGGAATGTTACACCAGATGGTTTAAATTCAATAAATGCATCCACTGATTTCACCAGCTTTGAGAAAAGATTTCCCGATTTGTTGCTCTCTGTGTGAGAAACAGTGTGAAGATTTCAGTCATAACAGTCCAACACATCCATGTCGACCAGGTATCCTAAATTAATCTAGTTCCATTTGCCAGCATGTGGCCCATGTCCCTCTAAACCTGTTCCTATTCATGTAAGCATCCAGATGTCATGAACTATCATTGGAACAACTTTCCTTAGCTTACAAGGATGCTGGGCATCATTAATGTTATATAAAGCTGCAGAAACTAGCCCTTTAGATACTGAATGCAGCAGTTAATTGCTTTCAAGCTATTATTTTAAAATGTTCATTAAACTTTGACAAAAAAACTATTTTTAATTCTTGTGCAACATCATTTATGTGTTTAGGCAGCACATAAAAGAGCAGATCATCTTGAAGCTCTACTTGAACAACAAAGAAAGCAACTCCTTGGTAAATGAACATGGAGACCATTAGACCAGAGACCATTGAGACCATAAACCTCATGCTGGGAGTATTTGCACCATCGAGTTGAATATGTGAGATGCGCAATTGTGATGATTTGTGCAAATGCCATAAGAATAGCATTAATGTTTGTTTTTGATCGGTAATCTCATGTAGTTTAACTGTCCAAATCAAACATTCTAGCTAAATGGTCTTTTTAAAAATTTTTTTTTATTTTTCTACATTATGTACCGTAATATTTTTCTCAAATTGCAGCCCTTATTTTGTATGTTAGCTGTAATGTGTAGCATGACAGAATTTATAAAGTATTTCAATTAGTTTCATTATTGCATAAAATCTCTTGTAATTAAATGACTCTTCTCTGACCCACTTTGTTTAATTTTGGTTAGAAACGCCTACTTGAATTTAAGAAATTCAGTGCCAAGCTGAAGTGATAAATAACTGCCAGTATAGCTTTCTCCCCCACAATCTAATTATTGCTGGACAAATCACATGAAGAAGAATCATACCAGACTCAGAACAGTAACTCAGTTTCTCTTGCCACAGATACTGCCAGACCTAGAGTCATAGAGCTGTACAGCGAGGTAACTCAGTTTCTCTCGCCACAGATGCTGCCAGACCTAGAGCCATAGAGTCATAGAGCTGTACAGCAAGGTAACAGACCCTTCGATCCAACACATTCATGCAGACCAGGTATCATAAGTTAATCTAGTTCCATTTGCCAGCATGTGGCCATGTCCCTCTAAATGCATTCCTATTCATGTATGTATCCAGATGCCTTTTAAATGTTGTAATTGTACCAGCCTCCACCACTTCCTCTGGCAGCTCATTCCATACATGCACCACCCTCTGCATGAAAAAGTTGCCCTTTGGGTCCCTTTTAAATCTTTCCTGTCTCACCTTAAATTTAATCCCTCTGGTTTTGTACTCCCCCATCCTGGGGAAGGACCTTGGCTATTCACCCTAACCATGCTTCATGATTTTATAAACTTCTAGAAGGTCACCCCTCGGCCTCTGACATTCCAGGGAAAATAGCCCCAGTCTATTGAGCCTCTCCCTATAGCTCCAACCCTGGCAACACCCTTGTAAATCTTTTCTGAACCCTTTCAAGTTTCACAACATCCTTCCTATAGCAGGGAGACCAGAATTGAACAAGTATTCCAAAAGTGGCCTAACCAATGTCCTGTGCAGCCACAAACATGACCTCCCAACTCCCATACTCAATGCACTGACCAATGAAGGCAAGCATACTAAATGACTTTTTTATTATCCTGTCTACCTCGGACTCCACTTTGAAGGAATTATGAACCTGCACTCCAGGGTCTCTTTGTTGAAAATCACTTCCCAGGACCTTACCATTAAGTGTAAAATCCTGCCCTGATTTACCTATCCAAAGTGCTTCCGAACTTTTCAGAAAACATCCCATATCTCTCTTGGTATAAGGAAAGAGGAAAGATAACATCAAACTCCCATGCACCATAGATTGGAGTGAATGGGCAAAACTACCAAATGTCACTGTGCAACCCACTGTTCCCACCTACACTCCAAGGTCTCTTTGATCAGCAACCGCTGAGTTTCTCAAGCATTCTCCTGCATTTGTTTCAAATTTCCAGCATCCACCATATTTTACTTTCCAATCACATCTGTTGTAGCTGATCTGAAGCTTCTTCCTTGGCTTCTTCCTAAGCCAAGTCTTATCTCATTCCTGAAACCTGCAGCAGTACTGTGGAACAACGTGGCATACCACAACTTCGAGGGCAGCAGATGACTCAATATACTGAGGATTGACCATGTCACACCATTTTGTGGTAGGAACAGCAGAAAATGACACAAGCTACTGTGTTGATCTTAATTGTACTCTGCGCACACCCTCAACATGTATAAAGCTGCCTCCCTGAACCACTACAGTCTGTGAGATGTGGCTGCTTCCACTATGCTGTTTGGCCAGTGAAGGAACAGTGATATACCTTCAAGTCAAAAATAGATGGAAAGGAAGCTTATGAGAGGCATACAAACAGTTTACAGAAAGATATTCATAGCTTATGTAAGTTGGCAAATAAAGTATAATATGTGAAAATATGAAGTTGTTCATTTTGGAAGGGAGGACAAAAGAACAGCATATTATTTAAATGGACAAAAAGCTGTAACTCACAGGTACTTAGGGTAAATGTGCACAAAACACAGAAAGCTAATAAGCAGGGATAGCAATTAGTTAGAAATGCTAATGAAATGTTGGCTGTTATTTCAAGGGAGTTGGAGTGTAAGAGTAGGGAAGTCTTAATGCAACTGTACAAAGTGCCTGGTGAGACCACATCTGGAGTACTCTAAGCAGTTTTGGTCCTGTTATTAAGAAAATATATTATTACAATCATCACAGAAACCCTACAGTGTGGAAACAGGCCATTCAGCCCATTGAGTCCACCCCAACCCTCCAAAGAGCATCCCACCCAGACCCACCCCCCATCCCTATCACTCTGCATTTCCCATCGCTATTCCACCTAACCTGCATGTCCCTGGACACTATGGGCAATTTTCCATGGCCAATCCACCTAACCCGCACATCTTTGGACTGTGGGAGGAAACCAGAGTATCCAGAGGAAACCGACACAGACACGGGGAGATTGTGCAAACTCCACACAGACAGTCGCCAGAGGGTGAAGTCAAATCTGGGTCCCTGATGCTGTGAGGCAGCAGTGCTAACCACTGAACCACCATGCTGCCCCTGGAGATACAATGGAAGTAGTTCAGAAATTAGGATGATCTCCGGTATGGAAAGATTGTGTTATAAGCAAAGGTCAAACAGCTTGGGACTCTACTCATTTGAATTTAGAGGAAGAGAGGTGATCTCATTGAAACATAGGATTCTTAAGGGGCTTGACAGGGTAAATACTGAGACATGGTTACCCTCTTAGGAGAGTCTAGGACCAGAGGGCATAGCCTCAGAATTAAGGGGTGATAATTTAAGGTTGAGATGTGGAGGAATTTCTTCTGTGATGGTTGAATGTCTTTGAAACTTCTTGCCACAGAGGGCTGTGGGGGCAGAGCCCTTGTGTATATTTAAAGCTGAGATAGGCAAGTTCTTGAAAGTAAGGGAATCAAGTGTTACTGGGAAAGGGCAGGAAAGTGGACGTGAGGCATGTTAGATCAGCCATGATCCCATTGAATGGTGGAACAGGCTTGAGGGGTAAAACAGCTTACTCCTATTCCTGTTTCTTATGGCCGTAAGTCAGGATGGTGTGTGGTATTGAGGGGACTGGGAACTGCTAGTGTTCTCATATGATTGCTACCTTTGTACTTCTAGGTGAAAGGTTATGGGTTTGGGAGGTGCTTTTGAGGAGCCTTGACCATCTCCAAATCTCTCACCATCCTGACTCACCACCACCATTTCAAGGACGGTTACAGATAAGCATTAAACGCTGGTCTGCTCAGCAAGTCTGTATTCTTTGAGGGAAACAAACAAAAGTACAGACTTCAGTATTGATCTTGTAGATGGTACATAATGAAGTCTGTTTAAGGTATGATTAGGGTGCCAATGAAATAGCTGCATTGGCTTGAATGGTTTCAAAGTTTGAGTGTTGCGAAGTTGCATTCATCCAGGCAATTCCATCACTTCCTGATTTATACCTTGGAAATGGTGGAAAGGCTTTGGTAACTAAGGAAATGAGCCACTTAACAACAACATGTATTTATATAGCAGCTTGTGACAAAATGTTCCAAGATGCTTCACAGAGTTATTAATATGTTATATTTGGCACTAATCCACATGTGGCGATATTAGAAGACCACAGGAGTAGTCAAAGAATGTCTTAAAGGTAAAACGGGAGGTTTAGGGAGAGGATTTTCGAGCGTAGACCCTTGACAGCTGAAGAAATTGGGGAATCTCAAAATAATTAGAAGAGTGCAGAGGTCAGGGTTGTTGACTGGGGGAAATTACAGAAATGGGGAGATGTGAGGAAATGAAAAAACCAGAATGATAATTTTAAAATCATTGCTTAATCAGGAACTAAATTAGGTCAACACGTACAGGGGGATGAGCAAACAATGTGTGACACAGGTTAGTATAAGGAAAGAGTTTTTGGATGACCACATGTTTCTGGAGGGTAGACCCTGGGGATCTGACCAAGTAAGATTGAGACAGTTGGATCTAGAGTTAGTGAGAAGATCATTTGAGACAAGGACAGAATCACATCGTGCTACTAAGGTGGAAGTAGGCCTTCCTAGCATTGGGGGTTGGTTGTGTTTTATAGTTCAACATGGGGTCAAATGTGACATCAAGGTTGCAAACAGTCTAGTTCAGCCTCTAAAAGCTGTCAGGAATAAGGATGGAATTGATGCTGAGGGAGTAGAATTTATGTCAGGACCTGAAGACAAAAGTTTCAAGTCTTCCGAATATATAATTGGATGAAATTTCTGCTTGCCACAGAATGCCCAGACTTGTGTAGCCACAGTATTTATGTGGCTGGTCTTGTTAAGTTTTGATTATTGGTGACCCCGACAATTTTGATGTTGGGGTAATTTGGGGATTGTAATGATATTAAATGTAAAGGAAAGTAAGTACACTTGATTTTTTTTGGCGTTGGTCATTACCTAACACTTGTAGTATGTTACTTGCCACAGAATGGCATCAAGTGAATGTTGTCCAAACCTTGCTACCTGCAAGCATGGATTGCTGAACTGTCTGAGAAATTATGTATGATACTGAACAGCATGAAAACATCAGTCAAAATCCCTACTTCTGACTGTATGATGGGGAGAAGGTCATTGATGAGCAGCTGAAGATGGTTAGGCTAGGACCCTGACCTGATGAACTATAACAAAGTCCTAGGGCAGGGATGATCTCGCTCTAACAAATGCAATGTTTTGAGCAGCTTATGATTCCAGCCAGTGCAGAGTTTTATTCCTATTGATTTTGTTACAATCATAATGAAAATGGACTATAATATTCAATTGCCATATATTGACTTTAATATTTGAGACTTACATGAACTCAAATGATTTTTTTTAAAAAAAACTTACTGAAAATAGTTGCTGTATTCACCTGACAAACTCAGGCAAACCACTTTTAAAAATACAAAACTGGCTACATCAATATTACCTTATTAATCAAGATGATATGTAAAGAAATTTGTATCTCTTGTTTTATTCTCACTTGCATGATAAATTCACATATACTGAGAGATGAAATGCTGCTTATAACTATCTAGTTTGGACAATGACACAGACATCAGAATCCACAAAGGAACTGTATACCAACCTTGGAATAGCAAAAAAAGAAAAGAAGCCAAGTGGACTGATAACAGCCAGGATACTGAAAGCTCTTCCTCCCTCTCATTCTCAGAAACTAATTCTGGGGGGGAAAGCAACTGGAAAACTACTGTTCATCAAGAAATCAAAATTAGCTGTGATCTTTGCCACTGCAGAGTAAACATCTGTCAACTCAAGGGCTATACAACTTTAAATTGTAACTGCCTTTGCCTCCTGTGTGTATAGACACCACCCCTCTCCTCCATCCTTGCTTTTAAATTGTTGTTACTTGTGTTTTTGTACATATGTATGACGTCACATTTTCTCATTTTCCTCTGGTTTAGTAGGTAATAAAATTCCGCTGTCTTATTCAAAACCTTGGAACTGGCTGTCCTTCATTTTTTATCTGGAAAGCCTGAAAACATGCTTTAAAAAAACTTAAAAATATTTGGTGCCACTGACTGTGAGGCTATTAGAAAGAGGGGAACTGATCATACCTCATTACCTCAGAGATAGTAGGAACTGCAGATGCTGGAGAATCCGAGACAAC